ACCTCAGCTGTCACCTCAACGGCCAGCACTGCCACAGATGTCACCTCAACAGATGTCACCTCCACTGCTGTCACCTCTTCCGATGTCACCTCCTCTCATGTCAGCCCTACTGCTGTCACCTCCACTGCCATCACCTCCACAGACGTCACCTCCGCACTTGAAACCTCCACTGCTGTGACAGTCACAGATGTCACCTCCACAGATGTGACCTCCACTTCTGCTACCTCCACTGATGTCACCTCCACAGACATCACTTCTGGTGTCACCACCACAGATGTCACCTCAACAGATGTCACCTCCACTGCTGTCACCACCACTGCTGTCACCTCCTCTGCTGTCACCTCGAGTCCCATCACATCCGCAGATGTCACCTCCACTTCTGCTACCTCTCCTGCTGTCACCTCTACAGATGTCACCTCCCCCAGTGTCACCCCAACAGACGTCACCTCCTCTCCTGTCACCTCCACTTCTGTTACCTCCACTGCTGTCACCTCCACAGGCATCACTTCTGGTGTCACCTCCACTGCTGTCACCTCCTCTCCTGTCACCTCCACTGCTGTCACCTCCACTGCTGGCACCACCACTGCTGTCACCTCCACAGCCATCACTTCTGGTGTCACCAGCACTGCTGCCACTCCCACAGATGTCACCTCAGCAGATGCCACCTCCTCTGCTGTCACCTCCATTGGAGCCACCTCCACCGGTGTCACCTCCTCAGCTGTCACCTCAAGTCCCATCACCACCACTGCTGTCACTCCTACAGATGTCACCTCACCTCTTGTCACCTCGAGTGCAATCACCTCTACTGCTGTCACTTCGAGTGCCATCAACCCCACCGATGTCACCTCCACTTCTGCTACCTCCACTGCTGTCACCTCTACAGGCATCACTTCTGGTGTCACCTCCTCTGGAGCCACTTCCAGTGCTGTCACCTCCTCTCCTGTCACCTCCACTGCTGTCACCACCACTGATGTCACCTCCACTGCTGTCACCTCCACTGATGTCACCTCCACTGCTGTCACCCCTACTGCTGTCACCTCCACTGATGTCACCTCCACTGCCACCACCTCCACAGCCATCACTTCTGGTGTCACCTCCACTGCTGTCACCCCCACAGATGTCACCTC